AATACTACATAGTACCTCCAGCACTCCTTAATTGAACACATTAGCACCTCAGCAGTGAATATATGCATAGTTGTCCTAAGTGAAATAACAAAGACTCTAAGTAGCCTCCTCTCGGTTCAGAAGAGGAGATGAGTGGGGTTCCAGTTGGATTTGGCCATCTAATAAACTATGAAAAACTTTTCTGTTTTCAGCACTTTGGGGATTTTGAAACTGCAGATAAGAGATTATAGACCTATAGTACTCAAATATTAACCACCATATTGGTTCTGCCAAAAGGACAATATTAAAGTGTAAAATACAGAACCCAGTGCCAATCAATGCCAAGTACAATCATCAGTCCATTTGAGTTCATCAGCAGTACCCACTGTGGCAGTAGCAATCCTCAATGTTTTTGCCATTAGCCAGATTTTCAATCCAGACCCAGATGGCTGTAACTCATCCTTGTTTATTCTATCACCTGCACTTACTGGCTCCTTTCTAGATATCTTACGTCGTTATGGAGAAAATGCAAAGGATTACATATAAACAGAAATTATGAGTAGCCTCTTGCCCCCCTTTCTGTCATCCACTAATTGGTTAATATAGAATAATTATTCATAGGTTGTGCCCACAATACCCTTCCCACTCCTGGCCTTGTGCTTGATTTTTGTAGCTAGTGGTTAAAGTCCCCGTATCATAGCTTCAGGGAACCAGACCCAGAGACTGAGGTACTGAGGTGCAAGGCAGGGGCCAAGGAACAGCAACAAAGGAGCTTGCTGTTGACAGCGTCAGCCTGGAAGCTTATATATTCATGTAGGAAGAGCCAGTCATCACGTAGGACTGAGTAGCCTGGTGACCCCTCCCTACATCAGCACTACCCCCCTCCCTCTGCCAACCCTGGGAATCACAGCATGGTTGCTCTCATGGGTCAACATCAGAATTTGCCATATTCTGCAGTGAGTTGCTCCCCTGCAAATGGACAGGACAACTGGCTTAAATGGAGATCATTTGGGAAGTGCGGCCCTGTATGCAGGATGCACAAGCCCTTCTAATGACTTTGATCTGGGGACCTGTCCAGAGACAAAACACAAATGGCAGCTTTGGAGCAATCTTATAAAAGACACTAGTAATCTTATACACTTTTAAAAAATATTATTATAAATGTTAAATCTGTGCTTCCCTCGATTTTTCTAAGCTTTATTCCCCCTCACCCTTTTCTCAGCCTCAACTCTACGTGTTTTCCCAGACTCCTCATTCCATTGCAGACTTTTAAATAGGCCCCCAAAGGGAACTACACTGTCTGAGTTACTAATATAGTTCCTATTTACAGCCACCGTGGTTACATATGCAGCTAGACAACAGCTGGGCAGCAGGTTCAGAGAAGCTGTATAGGGTAATGGAAGTGATAAGATAAAGAAGTGGTAGATCCTCTGATGCATTTGGACTACATGAAAGATCACTGTGGAGAGGCTGTGAGCAAAAGATAACCCAAAAACTAAGCAAATGGAAAAAAGAGTGAGTTATTAACTTCAGGAAAGACAAGAAGGTTTACAAGAAAGAAAATGTAATCATAAAACACAATTTGGCTCAACAGGAAACAATGTTTTCATAGATATAATGTAAACTCTTAATCCAAATGTATCAAAAATGTGATAACATTATATTGAGAGATGATAGGGAAGGGAAGGGAGTTAGGTATAAGTGCTAAATCCTTATCAGACCTACTAGAAAATTAATAAATGATGTCTAACCCTGAGAAATGAAGAAAGAGCAGTATAAGAGTATTTTGTAGAAATATAAATATAATACCAGAAGAAACAGAAACAGCTAGATTTTGAAAATGGTGGGCTCTAGTGACCAAGACTGAAGGGTGGAGGAAGTGAAGAGGAATTTTTGGTTTTCATTATAAGCCTTTAAATACTATTTGACTCTTTGTTAACTATTTGCACATAGTACTTTGATAAAAATTAATTTTGATTGAAAAAGAAATGAGGGCTTCCCTGGTGGCGCAGTGGTTGAGAGTCTGCCTGCCTGCCGGTGCAGGGGAAATGGGTTCGTGCCCCGGTCCGGGAAGATCCCACATGCCGCGGAGCGGCTGGGCCCGTGAGCCATGGCCGCTGAGCCTGCGCGTCCGGAGCCTGTGCTCCGCAACGGGAGAGGCCACAGCAGTGAGAGGCCCGCGTACAGCAAAAAAAAAAAAAAAAGATATAAATGAAAGTTTGAAAGGCTATAAAATGAGAGTTCATAGAAATAGAACTGCAGATGACCCTTAAACATATGAAAAGATGTTTGACCTTATAAAAAATAAGAGAAATACAAATTAAAACTAACCTGAGATACTGTTTCTCATCTATCAGATTGGGAAAAACCCCAAAATTAGATGCCATCCTCTTTTGGCAAGACCATGGGGATTGCAAAATTATTGAACCCCTATTAAGAAGAATCTGGCAATATCCATTAAAACAGCAGATACATTTCTCTTTGACGCAGCATTTCTTCTAGAAATGCACCCCCAGACATTCCTGAATGCATATGAAATGACGTATAAGATTATTTATTATAACATTGTTTATAATAGCAAAAAATTTGAAACAATCCAAATGTCTATCAATAGAGGATTGGTTAAATAAACTACGGTCCAATCACTTAGTGGAAAATATTTATGTTCTCAATGAATAAAGAAAAAAAACCCTACATAATTTTACAACCAGCTTCAGGCCTTCCAGAGCACAGAGGGCTATGTCAGAAGCTTCTCAGACAGAGCAGACTCTCTGCCCTTTCAAAGTCTGAGCATAAGAGGAACTTGGCTACCAACCCTTTTCAAAATCTTAGAAACAAAGCAAGACAGGCGGTGAGGCAATGTCAGACTTAATGTCAGTCCTAGGTCCAAATCCCACTTGGGCACTGCGTTAACTGAGACACTCCAAGTTTTGGTTCCTCATCTGGAAATGGGGAGACAACTCCCCACCTCAGAGGGGTTGTCATGAGGATTAAGTGGGACAGTGTATGTGACACAGGTGGCACAGGGACTGGCCCACAATGTGTTCAACAACAGAAGTTATTTTTAATAGTGGTACCAGAAAAATGGATCCTGTCTCCAGGACTGTGGTCATTATAGGAGGACAGTCACCTTGGAAATACCAAAATAAGAATCAAAAGAGAATGGAAGGAATTTCCCTTCATAACCACGCAATTTGGGAAGAGACTCTTCATCCACAGGCAGATACGTGCACCGCACGGCCACCTCCAACTTCTTGTTGCCCATTGCTGCCTCTGGGGCTGGCACACACTTTCCCTAAGCACCCTACATCAGCAGGGTTGGAATGACCTGGGCCAAAACACCTTCTATTTAGACTGAGAAACCCCAGGACTGGAGAAAGCACTGATGTACTAAAGAGCACACAGCCAGCGGTCCTGTTTCATAGCCAGGTCAAGCAGCTAATGAAATTGCTAATCGGGTATATATTTTATAATAGCAGTTTTCTAGTGACCCAAAACAAAAAGTTTAAACCTGAAACTGAGTGCTCAGCACATCAGCTAAGTTGACTCTCATTCATTTCTGAAAGGGGTTGTGATCAGTGTGAAATCATATGATCAATATTGGTAGAGTGAATAATGTGTTTATCTATGTGAACCCAGTGTTATGGCTGTGCCTACACTTTAGCTTTTATATACTTCTTGTGGAATAAAGCCTCCAATCTAGGGGCAGTTTGTATTGCAATAAAAAGAAAAATTTCTAGAATGTGCCCAATCCTTGCTCCAGCAATGACTAGATATGTAATGTTGGGTTTTCATTTCCTCATCTGTAAAAGGGCATATCAGCCACCTTCATCATGCTGTTGCAAAAATAAAATCAGATAACTGTCTGTCTGGCATATAGCAGGCCCTGCTTCCTACAAACCCATATATCCTCTTGCCTCGTATACATATGGTACCTAATCAGTCCCACAACAATCTGTCAACCTCGCTTTTTGAATTCCAAAGATTTTTCCCTAAGCATATCAAAAAATGAAAAAATAAAATACCTTCCGTGATATTTACATAGGTAAATAGTTTTTAATTTCCTCAGCCAGAACAAAGAGTTAAGAAAAATCTTATTAAGAAGAATTACAAGAGTATTTCTTTTTCAAGTTCTCCAAGTACCTTTTGCTTCCACATTTCCCTTGGGGACTGGTTCCCACCATGTCTACATCGATCTGGAGAACTCTGGATCCAGTGGAATTCACTGGGTTCCTGATTCTCCCACATTCCTACCCCCAAGCTTTTGCCCGATACACAGCTCTTAGCTGAACTAAGCAGAATGAGGCGAAGAATTTCAACAGAGATATATTGAGCATCTACGAGATGCTAGGCACTATGTGAGACTCTTTTCCCTCTCATATTTAATTATCACAATAATCCTAAGAGGTAAGCATTATTGTCCCCATCTTACAGATGACAAAACAGAAACTCAGAGCATTAAGTGATTTGCCTCAAGTCACAGGCTCAGGAAGGGGCAGAGTGGGATGGAACCCAGATCCCTTGAATTTGTTGTAACTAGTGGCCTCTCACTTCTAAAGCACCTTTGTAACTGCTTTCCCTTCCTACCCATTCACTGCACTTAAACAGAAGCCCCTAATTTTCAGCAGATCACTGGATAACTTTGAGTGGCCCCGTTGTTTTCTCTACATATATTGGTGAACAAAGACAGCATTATGTTTCCAACACACTAGTCGGCTGGTGGGGGGAAAATCCCCGTAACTTTGGTAATTTTCCACCCTCTGGAACAAAGACATATACACATTAAGGTTCACCATAATGTATAAACATTACCCTTAAATGATGCAAGCTCTCTTAATATGACTTAAATTCTAAACTTTAAAGTTTAATAGTTTCCTTTTTTGGATCTTGAATGACACACAAACAGAAATAAATATACAAATCGTAAACGCAACAGCCAACTAGTTACACTGGGCTCTCACATCAATACAGATTTCCCTGATGATCTGAACCCAATTTGACTCTGGTCTAGGCATGCTGACCTGAAATAGTTGCTGGCCGCGGCAAGCACCACGCGGTGGCAGGAGAATTCCTGAATGTCCACACACAAGATGACGTCTGTCAGAGCGTTTTCCACTCGGAGGGTCTCCAGGCCATTCTGCAGAATTAAGGAGAGTCCAGTGTCGTCAAATTTTACCTTATCCCCATTTAAGATTTCTACCAGGTCTCCCCTTTTCTGGGAGGGCTCATCTGTAGAAGGTGCCAGGGGCCCTTCCAAACTCTTCTCTACCACGTTGTCCATGGTCCAGGTGCCCCTCTGTCCTGCCATCAACATCCAGACTGAAGAAGTGCCCAAGTTTCAGGCAGGTCACATTGCAGAAGCTGAGCGGATTTCCTGTGCAGGGCCCTCCACTTATCACCAGCTGTCACACACACATAACAGGAAGTCTTGCACTTTCTCATCCTGTTACTACAAATGCCAGTAACTTCTATTCTTCTTCTTTCTGTAATCATCACAAGCTTAGAAATTGCTTAGAAGGCTGTGTAGGAAGGGGCTCCAGTGAAAAGGAGTGGCTTCTCAGAGTCTGCTATTAGTGCTGTGTGGCTATTTCAGTCCACCTCCCCACCCCCCGCCCCTCACATCTGTGAGCAGGAAGCCTCTGGTTCTGGTTATTACATTCATACTTCTGGTGCTTCTGTGTCCCAAGGTGTCAATGATGGGATGGGCAGGGGACATTCCAAACCCTCCTCCTCCTTCCTCCCAGGAGTCTGAGACCCCATGATGTGCCCCAGACCAGTCCCTTGGGAACCTTGGAAAACCCACTTAGCTTTGGCATTCTCATTTCTATCAGCTCTGCATGTCTTCTGTCTTTGTCTTCCTCTCTGCTCAGGGGAAAACAATGTCATGGCAAATATTAATGTTCCTTTTCCCCTCAGAATGTCTATTGTTTTAGATATGCCTCTGGGGACAGAGAAGAAATGGTCTCCAGAAACTCCACCCCCAGCCTCTTTTCTCTTAGAAGACCAGTCAGGGTAGATCAACACCAGATGGTCCTAGGAAGTCTCAAATTGGCCTGACCTCACCCAGCATCTATTGGTCATGCATCTAGTAGTGGATCATGAAGTATTTTCATTGCCTCTGCAGGTGTCCGTTAAATAGAAATAACTATCTTTTATTAAACTCCTGCTATATCCTAGGAAATGTATAGGAGTTAAGGTATTTTAAGCTTATAACAACCCAGTGGCACTAATATGACTTTCCTCATTTTATAGCTAAGGAAACTGAGTGGCAGGGCCCAGTTCTTGCCTCTAAAGCCCCTGTTTCTTCCACCACGACCAGGCTACCAGAGCTGTAATATCGTGTTGGCCCTGGTTCCTTGTCTCCCACAGAGAGAACTGCTGGGCTTGCCCACTACGGCTGCCCCAGTGGCCGGCGCCTCACCAAAGCGGCTTCTGCTGTCTTCTCCTGCTCTCATTCCCCTTCTAGCAGTGGGGAGCACTACCAGTCCTCCTGATCAGCAGGACCCCAATTCTCTGTCCTCGTCAGTGGTGACCGAAGCCTCTCCCAGAGTCCCAGTTCTGCCTCAGCTCTTCTCTTCTACGCATGGATACTTACTCCTAAAATTGGGGCCTTTGATATTCTCCCAACACTTGCTCTTCATCCAGAGCTCTGTCAATCAAGATGCTTTTGGCTTCTGGGAATTCCCTGGTGGTCCAGTGCTTAGGACTCTGCACTTCCACTGCTGGGGGCAGGAGTTCATTCCTTGGTTGGGGAACTAAGATCTCACAAGCTGCGTGTGCGTCCAAAAAAAAAAGCAAGATGCTTTTGGCTTCAATGACAGAATATCCCATCAAAAGTGGTTTAAACAATAAGAGTCTCACATTATAAGAAGCTAGCGGTGTGGAGTCCCAGGCTGATCCAGAAGCTCAGTGATGTCATCAAGGGCAGAAGATTTTCCCATCTTTCACTCTGTCACCCTTGGTGTGATAAAGGTGTACCCTCGTGGTCACATAATAGCTGCCACAGTACCAAACACCATGTCTTCACAGAACCCTGGTCCAAAATCGGGATGAAAAGGGGCAGGCCTCTTCTCCTCCATCTCTCTCTTTTTATCAGAGAGAAAATTATTTCCTAGAATCTCCATCACACTTTTCCTAGGTCACTTGGCCACCTCAGACCAAACACCAGGAAATATAAATTGAGTACCACAATTGCCTTGCACAAAACACGATTCATGCACTGGGACTAGTCCACCTCCCCCAAGATCAAGGAATAGCCATCTGATAGCTGAACACAATTAGGACCTGTTAACACAGAGGAGGGAAGTAGGCTGGTGTACAGTTATCCCTCTGTGCTTGCCACAAGGACACGCACAACTCGAACTCCTCCCGCAGGCCTGGGCAGGGAAGAGCTCAGAACTGCACCTCCGTGACTCTATGCCCTCTAGTAGAGCTGAGGACAACACATGACCCGATGCCTCTCATGGCATTTTGTCCTCTAGAACCTCTCAGATTATAAACAACATTGGCCATAATCCAACTCCATCCAACCACCCTCAAAACACCAAAATTAAGAATATAACTCAATTCTTCATTCATGGTAGATCCTATTCACCAAGTTCCCTCATAGTGTTCCATATATTTACCTTGCAAGCCCACCCACCCCATCCCCTGACATAAGCCGATAACTGCTGTCTTCCCCCCAAACCCTCCATTTTCCTAGTAAGTAAGCACACAGAGTCGTACCATGAGTGTGATAAGATCTATGATTAGATTTTAGCAGAAAGGATAAAAAACACAATCAGTGCATCTATGTCAACCTGGATATGTTCTGAGATTCAGCAGGAACCTGTAAATATTCTCTACAGATACAAGCAAAATAAATCTGTTCTGTGGAAGCTTTATTTTCCTACCAGGCAGCAAAATATACAAAGCACTGGCAAAAGTTTTACTACTGAGAAAACTATCTAATTATATCTTACTAAGCTAGTTGGCTTTATGATGTTTGTAAGGAACAGATTCTGTCCCCATACAAATGGGTAGCTGTACTCAAGGAAGATCTCTATTCCTAAGGCCATGGATTGCCCCTTCTGACTCCAGTCAACCATCTTCCCTAACACAAATTATACTGATAGAAACAAGTCTTGAAGAATACTTTTTTTAAAAAATTAATTTTATTTTTGGCTGCTTTGTGTCTTTGTTGCATGCAGGCTTTCTCTAGTTGTGGCGAGCGGGGGCTACTCTTCCTCGTGGTGCACGGGCTTCTCATTGTGGTGGCTTCTCTTGTTGCAGAGCACAGGCTCTAGGTGTGCGGGCTTCAGTAGTTGTGGCACATGGGCTTCAGTAGTTGTGGCACATGGGCTTCAGTAGTTGTGGCTCGCTGGATCTAGAACGCAGGCACAGTAGTTGTGGCACATGGGCTTAGTTGCTCTGTGGCATGTGAGAGCTTCCCGGCCAAGGGTTCAAACCCGTGTCCCCCGCATCGGCAGGCAGATTCTTAACCACTGCGCCACCAGGGAAGCCCTATGTGTCACTTTCTATATCTATGCTTTGTTTGACAATAAAAAAGTTAACAATAATAATAGTAACATAGTCACCATTTATTGAACACCTACCAGAAGCAGGGGCTTTGCCAACCATTATCTCTTTTAATGCTTACAGTAGTCCCCTGAAGTAGGTATTGTTGTTCCTCATCTTAAGCATGTGAAAACTGAGGCTAATAGAGGATTAATGGCTTGTTAAGAGCATACAGCTCCAGGGACTTCCCTCATGGCGCAGTGGTTAAGAATCCGCCTGCCAGTGCAGGGGACACGGGTTTGAACCCTGGTCTGGGAAGATCCCATATGCTGCGGAGCAATTAAGCCCATGTGCCACAACTACTGAGCCTGCGCTCTAGAGCCCACGAGCCACAACTACTGAGCCTGAGTGCCACAACTACTGAAGCCTGCGCACCTAGAGCCCATGCTCTGCAACAAGAGAAGCCACCCAATAAGAAGCCCGTGAACCACAACGAAGAGTAGCCCCCGCTTGCTGCAACTAGAGAAAAGCCAACACGCAGCAACAAAGACCCAAGGCAGCCAAAAATAAATTAATAAAGTTTAAAAAAATTATTAAAAAAAAAAAACAGCATACAGCTCCTATCTCATCTTTCCTTCCCACTCACTCAGCCCCTTGACCCAAAGAGATGAAGTTAAGATTCCAATTGCATTTTCTCACCTCGAAGCCTGGGTTCTTAACCGCTATGATGTATTCTGTCACTATGATTTTATAACTACATATTTTGTCTCTAAATATGCTTAGAGTTTTCTTGTCTTTGAGTTGTATTTATTCCCTTTGCCTAGACTGTCTTTCCCCTTCTCTGCCTGAAGAGATACAATACATTCAGATTAGAAAACTATACATAGATTTAGCACCACTTTTGTAAATTCAAACCAAAACCATATGTACATCCTAGGACAGAGTTCCCCAGTCATGGCACTACTAACATTTTGGACTGGATAATTCTTTGTTGGGGGAGAGGGAGCTGTCCTGTACTTTGTAGAATGTTTAGCAGCATCCCTAGCCACTATCCACTGGATGCAAGTAGCATCCTTCCTCAGTTGTGAAAGTGAAAAAATGTCTGTATACACTGCCAAGTGTCCCCCCAAGTTGCAAAATCACCCTGGCTGAGAACCACTGTCCTAGATATATACCTATCAAAAATTTTAAATCAGGTTATATCTTGGTGGTAAGATTGGTAATGCTTATTATATCCTTTTTGCTTTAAATGTATATTTGAAATCTACTTAAACTGTTTCTGGTTGAGGGGGATAGTGTTATTTTCTTTTTTTCTCATTACAGAAGTAAGGATGTTCACCGAAGATTTAGGAACTACAAACAGTCCAGAATATCATTTCCCAGAAATAGCTACAATGTTGTTGTTGTTTTTTTTCTTTTTAACATCTTTATTGGAGTATAATTGATTTACAATGGTGTGTTAGTTTCTGCTTTATAACAAAGTGAATCAGTTATACATATACATATATCCCCATATCTCTTCCCTCTTGCGTCTCCCTCCCTCCCACCGTCCCTTTCCCACCCCTCTAGGTGGTCACAAAGCACCGAGCTGATCTCCCTGCATTATGCGGCTGCTTCCCAATAGCTATCTGTTTCACGTTTGGTAGTGTATATATGTCCATGCCTCTCTCTCGCTTTGTCACGGCTTACCCTTCCCCCTCCCCATATCCTCAAGTCCATTCTCTAGTAGGTCTGTGTCTTTATTCCTGTTTTACCCCTAGGCTCTTCATGACATTTTCTTTTTTCTTAAATTCCATATATATTGTTACCATACGGTATTTGTC